TACAGGAAATACAGAGACAAGAGGGTGTCCTCAGCAAAATACAGACTCTGGGAAACTCTATAAGACAAATGACCTACTTTCTTAAAGAATTAAAAGCAATAAAAAGAGAGGGAAATGACAATTTGCTTTGGTGATATATCATCTAGTTTTTTACATGGACTATTTATGAGTCCTAAATCCATCACAAAGGTCCTAAATTAATCAGGTGAATGTGATCACTGATTGTTAATTTAGCAAAGTGTTACGAGAGAACTATGGATATAATTTTTAAAAGAAAACAGTCCCTGCCATTAGAGATACATGATGAATATATAGGAATAAAATTATACAGTATTTGACCTTTGTAAAATAACTGGTAATGGTAGAGGCGGATGGCTAGAGATACAGAAAAAACAGGATTGAGTGGCAAGTGTTGAAGTTAGGTGATAGATACACGGAGATTCATTATACTGTTCTCTATGTTTTATATACTTGAAACCTATAACACCATTGTTTTCAAAATTTCAAGGAAAGCATTTCAGGTAGGGGAAGGAAGTCAGCACAGAGGAGTAAGAAAAACAAATTAGAACCTGGGCGTGGCAGAATGTGCCTGTAATCTCTACTACTGGGGGAGTTTAGGCAGGATAGTGAGTTCAAGGCCAGCTTGGCCAACATAGCAAGACCTCATTGGAAAAAAGAGAAGAAAAGTAGAAAACCCAAGAGAAAATGGAGGTGTGGAAAGTGTTTCTCAAAAAGTCATCAACAGATCAAGCAAGCGGAGATCAGAAAAGTACCCCACTGTTTTTTGGCAGTTAGGATGATACTGTGACTTTGACTAAAATAGTTTCATTGGCTCTGTGTCATTTGGAAGTCTGGTTGCAGTTAGGAAGAAGAAAAGAAATGTGTGTAGGCCATTATTACCCAGAGCACAGGACAATAGCTACAAGTGCACAGTTACAGGGTCAAGGGAAATTGTGTTGCCATATTCTCTGTAGTTTTGGTTTTCATGTTGTGAGACAGCATGTTTTATTGATCTTGGAAGGGAGCTAGTGAAAAGTGGAAAGCTAAAATACAAAAGAGATCCGATAAAAGAGATGAGATGGAATAGGATCAAACCAGAAGTTAAAATTTGTTTTTGTGTTATATATATGCAACACAATTTTTTAGAACATTCCTTATTGACATTTGTTGTGCTATTTACACAGTACAGAAAGGTGTCAGTGAGAATTTAGACATACATGCAAAAAAGAACAAGTATTAGGAAATAAGTCATAGTAAATCAGTGGTTCTTAATTTAAATAAAACAGAAGCTTGTGGTCAAATTTCTGTCTTATAAGGTATAAAAGCAGTCAATATAATCATATTTTGGTGCTATTTTTACAGCATTAAGTAGTATTACATTTATAATAAAGCTAATCTTATTTAGTAAATAAGCTTTAGAAAAATAATCTGTGCTGTTGTTTTCTGAATTAAAAATTGCATAGCAAAATCCTTTTTTATAGTTTTTGAACATAATAGACAACACACCAGTATAATATATAGCTTTTGACCAGTACTCTCAAGAGGTTTCCACTAGCATTTTCCCATTGGTGTAATGGGACCTAAGAAACATCGATGTTAGAGGTTAATCACAGGATTGAAGGTAATTTTGACAAAGCTAATCATGAGTAGTTTTCACTGATTTCATAGTAAATTTTACCATAAATTCACTGAGACCCACATAGGTATTTCTATCGACACATTAATCAAAAGAAACACAAACCCAGAGTTTCAGCCACAGGCCAGCGAAAACATGCCTTTTCCAGCTTACAACTTGTGAATCATGTTTAAATGCTAATCATACTGGATTCTTCTGCGAACTAATAAAAACGTGAAGCTTACTAAATGGTCTCTCATTAGAGGCACTTCTCTGTGGTGATGTGTTGCATATATATAATTCAGAATACACCTAATAGGCATTTAATAACTTAAATGAAATGTAATTTGAATTAAAATTTTAAGAACAGCCAGGTATTTAGCTCAGTGGTTCTGCCGCCTGCCATGCAAGCGCAAGGTCCGGAGTTCAATCCCTGGTACCAAAAAAAAAAATTTTAAGGATTAGAAAATATACTTCCAAATTTTTCATTTTTAGAATGATTTAAAAGTGAATGTAAGGGACTAGATAATAGAGAACATTGATTTTTTTCCCTTTCATATATTCATAAGAAATTTATTAAACAATTCATCTTTCTTAAGCTCCACCAAAAAAAGTTTACCAGAACTGTGACACTGTATTTTGACGGATCAAATTGAAAATTAGAAAACAATTTTCAGAGTGTACCAAAATTCATTTGGAAAGTTTAAATGGCAGCTCTGACTTTGACGCAAATGAACATTTAAAATGAAATTAATAGAAATTTGCTTGTTGTCCTGAGTAACATAGTTTTTCAATTAATGTCATTTTAGATTCAGCAAAAATAGTTGCAAAATAGATCAAAATGTGTATTCTCTGAAAATTTCTACTACTATAAAAGAGAACTAGTGTTCTACATGGAACATTTTAAAGTTGAGGGAAAAAAGGAGGATGCTAGTAGAATATATTAATATGTGCTATTTTTGTCTCCTGCTTAATCTGTGTATTAAGATTAATGATTAATAAAGAACTTTTTGTGTTCTTAAAAAAAAATTGTTTTTATATTGAATGGCACTTGCCCCTGTCAAGCAAGTTGGCTACTAAAACTGCTCATGGGAGGCTGGAAAGTAAAGTGTTAGAGGGATTCTTTTCGAGCAGCCTTTACTTTCTCCATGAGATGGGTGGTGATAATCTTCATATTATAAAGGACTGATGGCTAGAGAGTTAGAAGGTTGGAAAAGGCTTTATGCTCTATATTCCTGCTTTAAAAAAAAAAGGCAGGATTGCAGCCTAGAATGTGTATTTAGCTGGTATAGAATTCCATAACTTTGTGTTTCTGCTATTATGAAGGAAAGAACAGCAGGAAACCCCAGAAACATAGTAAGGCCCGTAATGTTTTCCATTTTCAAGTATATTGCCAAATGTATCCTTTTTATGTTTTAATTTCTGATTGGCCATTTCAGATATAATATATACATATATATTTATATTTGATCTTATATCCCGCAACTTTGCTAAATTCACTTACAATCTCTAGCAACTTTGTTGGTAGATTACATTAGGCTTTTTACATAGACAGTGGCTCTTAATTCTGTGTCATCTGTACTTTCCTAATCTGATTTTATGTAGATTCCTTTATCAGGGTATATTCTTTTTTATTTTTTGTTCATGAAGAATTTTTATACAGGATGAATATTGGATTTTTTTCAAATAGTTTTTCTTATTAATTTGTTAATATGATGAATCACATTGACTGAATTTTAAATGTTGAACTAATTATAAGTTCCTGGGGTAAATCTTGGTCATGAAGTATCATCCTTTTTTATATTGTTGTATTTGCTGAAATTTGATTCATAATTTTTGTATCTATATTTGTGAGGGTAAAATACTATTCTACAGTATTTTTCTCTTTCTTTAATTTCTTTGGTTTTGGTGTCAGGGTAATGCTGGCCTCAAGAATGAGTTGGGTGGGGCCAAGGATTTTGCTCAGTGGTTCCACTGCCTACTTCCCAAGCGCAAGGATCAGAGTTTGATCCCCGGTACCAAAAAAAAAAAGAATGAATTGGGAATTGGTGTAGAACTGGCATTACTATTTCTTCCTTAAATTTTTGATAGAAATCACCTCTGAAGCCAGCGGGGTATCCAGTTCTTCTTTGAAAGATTTTTAACTAAAAAAATCGAGTAGATTCAGACCATTCAGTTTGTTATTGAGTAGCTTTCATAGTTGGGTCCCACAAGGAAATTGTCCATTTCATGAAAGTTTTCAAATTAGTTGGCATAAAATTGTGTATAATTTATTTTTTTCTTAATAAAAGGATATACAATCAGGTTAACTCTCTTATTGTTCACATGGTTAGTTTTTCTTCTTTTTTCTTACTCCATTAGGCTAGAAGTTTGTCAGAGTTACTAATCTTCTCAGGGAATGAGTTTTTGGTTCCAGTGTTTCTGAACCTCTGTTTTCTGTTTCGTTGATAATCTATACTTGTTGTTTTCTTTCTTCTGTTTACTTTGGGGGTTTTGTTTTGGTTGTTTGTGGGATTTTTTGTTTTGTTTTGTTTGCCTTTTTCTATGTCCTGAAAATGGAAGTTTACACCTGAGGTTTTTGTTTTGTTTTGTTTTTGGTACCAGGGATGAAACTCTGAAAATGGAAGTTTAGGTCATTAATTTGAAACCTTTCTTTTCAACCCCCCCCCAATATATTCCTTTAATAGCACCCCACAAATTTTGTGTATAGTATTATAATTTTCCTTCAGTGCAAAATACTTTCGCATTTCCCTTTTGGTTTCCTTTTTTGATCCATGACTTACTTAAAAGCGTTTTTTTAAGTTAAACATATTTGAGGGTTTTTCGGGTATCTCTCTGTTACTCATTTCTAATTTTATTAAAAACCTATTTGCTTAGAGAGAGTATGATATGCTTGAAGCCCAAGCATTGTTGATCTTGGAAAATATTTCACTTGAAGAGAGTGTGTTTTTGTTACTTGGGATGAAGAATTGTATAAATGTAAATTACGTCAGTTGAGTGTTGGTTTTGATCAGTTTTCTATATCCTAATTTTCTATGTACATCTTTTATCAGTTATCAAGGGAGGGAATTGAAATCTTCAACTGTAATTGTAATTGTGTCTGTTCATACCAAGTACAATGAATTATATAAGAGGAAAATTGGTGTTACTGTAACATTTTAAAAAGCATCATTAGGGGCCGGGGATTTAGCTCAGTGGTTTCGCTGCCTGCTGTGCAAGTGCAAGGACCCGAGTTCAATCCCTGGTACCAAAAGAAAAAAAAAAGAAGCATCATTAGAACATGTCTTTGGTTTGTAACACTATTTTTATATGTAAATGAAACATTTTTACTGTCTTTCATTGCTTCATTATTTATCTAACCCATACTATTAATTTTGGTTGGCAGCATCTATGTTTTTAAAACAAGCCTTTGAAGGAGAATATCCTAAATTACTACACCTTTACAATGACCTATGGAAGCGTCTTCAACAATACAGTCAAAATATCCAAGGAAATTTTAACGGAAGTGGAAATACAGAACTCTATGTTGACATACAAAACATGGAAGATGATACTCAAGATATATTCATACCTAAAAAGCCAGATTATGAGTATGTTTAATTTGATTTCTTTGTTGGACTGTTAAGCGTTTTTGTTTTTTAAAATTTTATTGTAAAATAGAAATTGGGAATACACTAAACTTGCAAATATTTGTAATGATTTTTTAAATTTACATACTTTAAGAGACTTTGTAAGACTTTAACTAAAAGCCAGACTTCACCTCCAGCTGCACATTCTGGCTCCTGCTAGAGTCACCATTAAAGTATAACACTAAATAGGATAATTAGAAGCTAGGAGATGAACATATGTAGTCATTGTCTTTTAATTCATATTTAATTACCTATAATTACATCAGATAGTATCATTATTGATAGACCATTTACATACATGTAACATAAAAGGATCTGGCTTGTTCAGAAGCTTCAGGGGAGATAAATCACTGGGATAGGTTTTCAGTCAGTGTGTTTGAAAAAAAACTGTAATTAAAACTATCCCAGAAAATCGCACACAAAGTATGGTAATGTAGCCATATTTAGGAGCCACACTGGAAACCAGTATACCATATTTGGAAGAGCGTTTTTAAATTTCCATTTGAGCACCAGATAAAGTTTGTCTTTCACACCTTTCTTTAAACACTAGACTCATATTTATAGTAGAAAGGCTGATTAAACAGTAGCAGATTCTTATCACCTCCTTTATAAGAAGAATGTTGCGTAGACTCTTGAGTGCTGTTTAATTGGTTTTTTTTTTATTTTTTTTCTTAAGTACATACAGTTTGTGTGCTCTGTAGTTAGAAATCCTGACTGGTCCATTAAATGTCCAGACAAGGCTAGAAAGATAGAATGAGACCAGATTGTCTCTTCAATAACTGCTTTATGATAAATTGATGCTTAATTTAGAACTAATGGAAATGGGGACAAGAGGATAGAACTCACAAATGTTAATCTCCAATGAATTGATGTTGTTTAAAAATTTAAAGAGTTTATATAAAATAACATGTATCAATGTATTTCCACTTAGTTTTATTTTTAAACCTTTTACTAGCACTAAAAAAATATGGAAATACACAAAACAAATGATAACAGTGGTTTGTCTGCAGGAGATAATTCTTTGTACTTTTTGCTTTTAAAATGAATGTATGTTACTTTTCTTTTTTAACTTTTACTTTTAAGAAAAAGAAAAGTGGTAAATTCAGCGGGGATGGGGACCAGAGTGGAAAAAAAGACCAATGTTTAGACTGAGATGTAATTATCACCCTGTGGAGACTAAATTCAGGAAAGTGTTGATGAGGAGATGAAGTAGGATCCATAGTCTGTGAATTAAAAATAAAATATGAGGGTAATAAAAACCCAACAGAATGGATTTAAAGATAGTCTTTTGAGAAGTAAAGCAGAGAAGAAAACATGGGTTTGACCCAGGCTAGCTAAGTCTAAGGAATGTTTCTTTGTTTTTAATGATACAGGGAAAATTGAAAATATTGTAGATAGAAATAGCCAGTGGAGAGAAAAAGAGATGAGAAATGCAAGAAAGAAAAGAGATAATAGATGGAACAAGGTGCTAGAGAGGAATCAGAATAGAATCAAAGCAAAGATAACCAGGTTAGCAAGTACTGAGTACCTTCAGTGTTCATGCTAAAGTTTCATTGATGGTAATTGGTCCAAAGAAAATGAGATTAAATGGTCAAGAAAAAGTCTATTCAGAGGAGGTGATGTTTGTCCTGAGAGCTAAATAACATGAACAAGTCAACCACAGAGATTTGGTGAAGATTGCTTTACTCAGAAGAGCACGTTTAGAGGCCTTGAGCAAATTAAGATGGGGAGGTTTGAGGAGTGGAAAAGAAGCCAGTGAGGCTGGAACACCGTGAGTGAAGAAGAGAAGGGCGTGTGTAATATTGGGCAGAGACAAAGAGAAATGTGAGAATATGTAGGGTTTTATAGGCCATGGGAAGGGGGTTGAAATGTGTTCTAATAGAGTTGGTAATCGCTGTTTTTAAGAGATGATTAAACAGTTTAAAATCAGTTTAGCTTCTGTGTGGACACCTAAGGGGGAGCAGCAGCACACAGGGGGAGAAACAGGACATGGAAGGTATTTTGTTTCTATAGACAGAAGATGATGATGATGGCTTGAACTAGGATGGGCAGATAAGATGGTAAGAATTGGTCAGATTAATTCAAGTTGCATTCTGATGTATTTTAGAGGATAAGCCAGTAGAACTCTCTGATAGAGTATGTCTGAGAGGAAAGGGGGATCAAGTTTATGACTAGACAAGTTGGTAGAAGGCTGTTAAGATTGAAAGAATTTTTTAAGATATTGTGTTGAATTTAAGTTTTTCTTTTGGAACTCTTGAGTTGAAAATGCAAATAGGGTTATTGAAAAAATAATTCATTGTGAGTTAGGGCTAGAAATATATACCATAATGGATTGTTTACTGACAGGTACAAGGTCTGACAACTGCATCATTAAGTGATTTTGCCGTTGTGTGAACATCACAGGGTATAATTACACAAACCTAGTATGGATAAATCATACCATGTGTCTTCTTGATGTAATCAAGATATAGGGTTAAACACAAGACATACGAAGCTGCTGAAGGTATAGCACAGCGCACTATTTTACAGTAAATTTATGTCTTACAAATAGAAGAAATACATTCTAAAATAATGAAAGTAGTAAACCAGTAACAATCATTTATTCACATAAATTGTTACCTCTTTTCCTTCAGGACTTAGTAAGAGTTCCCTATATCCTTCCTAAAATTTTGATTTTTAGAAACAGTTTAAACCTACACCCTGTCTTCCTTGCTTTATTTTTCCTTTAGTACTTATCACTATCATTTCCATATTGAACTCATTAAATTTTTTTTTTTTTATCATTTGTTAGCTTGTAAACTTTAAAAGGCTAGGAAACTGTTAAAAACTAAGATCATAGTAATTTGCCTACACCTAGGAAACATTTGGCAGATTGTAGAGACTTTATATTTGTGTGAAAAAAAAGAAATAGAAGGTCAGGCGTAGGGAAAGTTGTCTTTGAACTTGGAAATCTTGGAGGTGGAACAGTTCAAAATGATGACTCAAGCCGGGCGTGGGGGCACATGCCTGTGATCCTAGCACTCAGAAGGCTGAGGCAGGAGGATCACTGTGAGTTCAAGGCCAGCCTGGGCTATACAGTGAGTTCAGGGCCAGCCTGAACTACAAAGGGAGACCCTGCCTCAAAAAACAAAACAAAACAAAAAAAACGATGACTCAAATTTGGAAGATCCATAGTAGAGGTAAGAAAAAAGGTCATTATAATAAATACAGACTTCTAACACAGGACAAGTTTTAGAAAAGTTGCATATTTTGACATTGTAGTCACCAAGGATTTTTCCAATCCATTTGAAGAATAAGAAGAATATTAGCAACTCATTTTCAGGGCCAGAATTTCTGCAGAAGAGAGAAGAGGCTTCCTAAGGTTAGATGACAGGAGCAGACATAGAAAAGACATTTAAATAGCATGGAGTTTAGGTAGAGGATTGTCTGAGAGTTTTAGATAATAGTTCTTCTCTTGCTCCATGTGGTCTTTGCATCTTCATCTATTATAAAATAATATATATTTTATACTATACCTGCCCACTTTGTTCACTAGATTATACAGCACTCAATTTTTGGGGGGGGTGGGGGGACTGGGGATCAAACTCAGGGCTTTGTGCTTGCAGGCAGGAGCTGAGCTAAATCCCCAGCCCTGTACAGCACTCCTAATCTGTATCTTCCCAGCACTCGTCAGAGTGCTTGGTGCATTGCATTCTCAGTAAACAGGTGTTGAGTGGACAACTTTATGAATGAGAAAGTACTAAGAGATAACTATGGAATTATGAAGTAGGAGCCAAGAGCATTCTGACCTCTAGGCTTGTCAGCTGACCAGAAGAGTGAGAGAAAGAGAAAGCCAGGTTTCAAATGTATGAAGAGCAGGTCAGGTGTTGTCAAGGTTAGTTAACATTTAAGATGAAGGGAAATTTGTTCTTAAAAAAAAGACAATGGAAAGGCTGGTAGAGGGATTGTAAATAGAAGATGTGAAAAAATATGTAATTATAGGAGTAAAGAAGCAAATAGAAGTAATGGTTATAGACATTTAGTATTAATTGTCAAAGGAAAATTATAAGATCCAATCATTTGACTGCTAAATGAAAATCTAGAGGAACAATTGAAAACAAAGGGGAAAGAAGTGCTGAGTAAGTAATTAACTTAGAACTCCAATTGAGTGTATTTATGTGATAAGACTTTAATAAAAACTTTTAATTTTTGCCCTCATTCCTATTAGTGCTGTCACAAAAGGGCAAACTGAGAATCTAGCTCTCTATCCTTCCTGTCAGTCAGGGACCTTTGTGGAACACAGCAGCTGTGGGGGCACCGGGGTGACCTAACAGAGCAGGTCTCTGCAAGTTTGCCTCTCATGTATGCTCTGATACTCTATAAACTGGATTTGCTAAGTAAAGGCATAGCTTCCATTAGAAGTAATGGGCTCTTACACTTTTATTCCTTTGCTTTCAAGTGACAGATAATATAGTAGGTATTGGTACATACTGTATTACATTTATTGCTAGGACTTATGTATAAATAAAAGTATAAATGAAAATGTTTATTTCATCTTTAATAAATGTTTAATTATGAAATATAATTGTAAATATATACATTTTAACTCATTTTCTGTTTGTTTATATAGTTATACTTTTTATGGGAGATAAGTTTTGGAAAAGGCATTCGTAGCCTGATGCACTACCAGCTAGTTTTATATAATTTGTCACTTTTTTTAAAATCTTGTTTTCACAGTGCAGAAAAGGCTTTGAAAGACTCACTGCAACCTTATGAGGCTGCTTATCTCTCAAAATCCTTATCTCGACTCTTTGACCCTATCAATTTGGTTTTCCCCCCTGGTGGGCGTAATCCTCCTTCCTCTGAAGAACTTGATGGTATCATTAAAACTGTAGCAAGGTATGTTCCTTTTTTAAATACAATTATGCTAGAAGATGCCTGATACATTGGTTAGTGATGCCTAATAGCGATACATTTTAAATTTACCTCAAATTATTCAAGTAATTAGGCCTGCAATTAAGTCAAGAGTTTTGCAGTGAATGAGTGCACACATTTCAAGTGGTTGAGATTCCAATTAATAAAACCATTCAAATATAATCTAAAAATAGTCTCATTATTCCCTATCGAACCAAGGATGCAAAGTGAGCTTACTTTCCCATACCATAGTACATCCCTAATATTACACAGAGAAGTAAGAATGAAAATAATTAATACAAATTAAGAAACTAAAACATAGTTTTTTATCCTAAATGCAGAAAGTGCTTGACGGCAGCAACAGGATTCTAATCCTGATTAGCCTACTTGTGGTTGCTATTTTAAGCTTCCTAAGTGAATGTGGCAGCTTTTAAAACTGTAAAAAGGGAAAGTGTCCTACAGAGGTGCCACCCGAGTGCTTGCAGACAATGTAATTGTCCTGTTGCCTTTAGACTTGTACAGTTAACAATTATCCAGGTTAGTCTGCAGCTGAGACTATGTCAGTCCTGTCATACCTAACTACTTTGTCATAACAGTAACTCTGTACATTTGAGGTGAACATTTTGTAGATGAGGAATAGTGGTTGGGCAATATAGAACCAAGGTATATAAACTGTTATTATTTTAGACTACAAATTTGAAGATGGTGGTTCTGATTGCTGGAAGAGGAAGTATTTTTTAAAAGCCACAGTATAATATATATAACCCTATCTTGAGCTGCAAACACCTATAAATTGTATAGATTGCTCACCATCGTAGTCCTAACCCTCTCCCCAATTAAGTTGACTCTAGGTTTTTACCTAAGTCTCTGTCACCTATTTGGTGTGCTGGTGATAAAAATAACCCTAGATTCAACTCAGGCTCTTTGACCTCTTTATGTAAATGTTAAAGAGTTGTCTCTCCCATTCTTCTGTGCATCTTGACAGTGCTATAATCAGATGTAATGTGGAGCTTGAATACTTGTGCCAACGTCTAATACAATTTAAAAATGAATATTAATAAAATTAGTGTCAGTACCACATGAAAGGGCATTTTTGAAACACGGTATACAGCACTGATGTTACACTTTCAAACTCCTTCACTTTCTTTAAAAAGATAACCTGATTAAATGCTAAAATTTATTCTCCTTCAGAGTTAAGTTTCTTTTCTTGCTTGCTGCCTGTACATGAGTTTACATGCACTTTTTAACTCCTGGTATTCTTAGTCATTGTTACTATGCCCTTTTTTTGGGTTTTGTTTGTTTGTTTGTTGTTTTTTTGGGTGGTCAAATCAAATATCCCAAGTAATTCAGTGTTGAATGTGGAACAGCAAAAAATGCTTTAAAAATTTACATTTTTAAGATAGCAAATTATTGCTATTAGGCTTTTGTTACATTTTAAAAACTAAGTAAATATCATGAATTGGCATAATTTCTACAGAAACTGAGTATCTTTATGTACCATGTGTAATTTATATTTTTAGCTTGTGTCCCTCCAAGGTCATCATTTCCATTCAAGAGCTGTCATTTCCTTGCAGATGTCTATGATACGCAGTGCCTCTAATTGCACTTATCAGTGTTAGCAAGAGTGCTACTTTAAAAATCTGTACACAGTTTTCTCTTTTAATCATAGGCTGAACCCACACATGATGTGCTCTTATCAATGAGAAACTGGTCATTAACAAAGCCATCTCAAAGCACTATTTCCTAATGCTGAATTTAGGAGGAAAAATGAAACAGTACAACCAAGTGTTAGAAGCAATCAGCAAAATCTATAAAAAGAATCACTACATTGCATATTGGGCTTAGGCTTATATGTTGCTCTTTGCTTTGGTGATGAACTATATTGATAATGATTAAAATCTGTTTTCTTTTTCTCTAGTGAACTAAACATAGCTGCTGTTGATGCAAACCTCACATTAGCTGTGTCAAAAAACGTGGCGAAGACCATCCAGTTATATGGGGTAAAATCAGAGCAGCTTGTAAGTGATATCCCTTATCTCCAAACTTTAATTTTGTTTAAACTTACTAGTTAGAGGGGCCGGGGATTTAGCTCAGTGTTCCGGTGCCTGCCTCGCAAGCGCAAGGACCCGAGTTAGATCCCCAGTACCAAATAAATAAATAGATAAACTTACTAGTTATACAATACTTGACTAACCATAACTAACATCATAATAAATAAAGTAATCTATTTTTACCTGTATCTTAGTTGTTCTGAAGTAATTTGCATAAAATGATTCTCGGTGGTATGATCCTTCCTACTTTCATTCTCAATGGAAGGCCAAATTTTGTTTGCCTATATGGTGCTATTTAACATTCATTTGTTTTTTTAATCTTGACAATATTTTAGAGGCATCTTTTTTTAAACTTTGTTTATTGAAAACTAGCCATATAGAGACATGGAAGCTCTTTGTAAGCAATTAGGTGACTAATTTTTCTCTCCAAACTGTGTTTATAGATGCTTTATTATAATGTTCATTGCTTTTTTTTAAAAAAGTGGTTATATTTTAAAACATGGTTCAGTATTTTATCTACTAGAGTTCAGTGTAGCTACTGAAAATGTCAGGAAAAAATTCTATGAGACAGTTCCCCATGAACAGAAAGAATCAACACACACACAAAATATTTTACTTCGTGGGTTTAGCAGGATACAGTGCAGTGAAGGAGAGATAGTAATGGCAATATGTGACTTCGATTATTGTGGGTACTGAAAAGGTTTTGAAAAAATAAAAATAATGCAGTTTTCTAACATTATTGAATATTTCTGGTTATGTAGTTTGTGGCCCTAAATTACTCAGAACTACTTAACCTACAATGCTGAAGGTTAATGGAAAGTTGTTGACTTTTTTCATTTTTCAATAGAATTTCCTCCTTCCACAATAATTTTACTTTTCAGTTTTCATTTAGGTACATAAGATGTAAGCATTAAATAATATTGTAAAAACATCATGTTTTATTTTTAAAATACATTATCAACTAACAACTGAAATAGTGTTTCCTTGTTAATGTTTATTTCTTGGCTATTAATAACACCATTTCTACTACTTTTGGGGGTTTTTTGTTTTTGTTTTGGGGGGTTTTTTTACGTACCGGGGATCAAACTCTGGACCTTGCGCTTGCGAGGCAGGTGGCGGAAGCACTGAGCTAAATCCCTGGCCCTTGTATTTTTTAAAATTTGGCATGTTTTCTTCTTTCATCTTTCCATATTATTCTACTAGAATACTTTCACTAAAAATCTTGAGAGTAGGGGCCGGGGATTTAGCTCAGTGGTTCCGCCACCTGCCTCACAAGAGGAAGGATCCAAGTTCGATCCCCGGTTCCAAAAAAAAAAAAAAAATATTGAGAGGAAAATAGCTAAATACTAAGATTTTTGTTTTTGTTTTTTAAATTTCATAGTATCATGGATTTTATGGAGTGCCTAGAATTTGGTAAAAGTTTACTTAGTAGGTGTCATAATCAAATTATTGTTTCATTAAATGCTGGTCTTTTTCAGAAGAATTTTCCAAAAAAGTATAATATTCTAAATTAAAATTAGCATAGCTTATTGTTGACACAGTGTAATCAAGACTTCTGATCTTGAGGTGTTGGATTATCCTAGTGATTTTCTCATGACTTTTGATTTGCTTTAGGTGTGTTAATGTTACACCAAATTAAACTGATAGTGCAGTTTCTGGCATCACTCACTTTTTATCCAGAGCAAAACAACTTGGTTCTGTACTTAGTTCAAATCCTATTCATTTTCAGAGGCAAAGATGGCTTTGCAAAATTTAATATGCATTCAAGCAGCTACCAAAATTAATTTCTTGGCTATTAGGTTGGCTCTTTTCTATTTCTGGTGCAGTCATTGTGGGAGCAACTACGTTCTGAGTCTTACAGGTCTCTCTGTTGCTTAGCTTGCTCTCCCACCAGTTCTCTTCCCTGTCTCCCACTGTCTCACAGCATTTTCTTTTTTCTCTTTTGCTCAGTTCCTTCAATATTAAGATTTTTGTTGAAGAAAAACAAGATATTTTTAAGTAGAATAACAACTGTATAAAGGAAATGCTGACTTGATATTTAGGATGAAAGCAACATCTTTAAGGGATTCTTTTTATAGATGAAAAATTTAAGCCTCAAATTCATAAAGTTAAGAAGTGACAGAAATTAGATCATTAATGGAATGTTCAAAAAGTGAGATAAAGGAAAGCTAGAAATTTAGAGGCAGCATACTTTCAGAAAGGGTAACGTAAAAATACAATCTAAAATGTACAATGAGCAGTTTTCAGAGTCCTAAATTTATTTCTCTAAAGATTAAAAGTTTCTTGGCTACCAGATAATTCACCAGGAGAAAGGCTCACAAAAGTATTTCCTAAGCTGATTTTAGTGTTCTGACACATTGTAGGGTATAACTAATAAATTATATATAAAATATATTTCTAGGCTTATAATGATAAATTGGAAAGTATTTTTATCATTACATATGTGTTTTCCCCTAAGGCTTTGTGTTATTAGTTATCAAAAGTATATGTCATACAACTATAAATCTCTACAAGGACAAATTCTTTTTTTTCAAATCTGAAATAGTACCAAACAATCCTATGTTTGTTTGGGGAGTTTTCGTATTTTGGTTTGGTTTGATTTTTTGAGACAGGGTCTCACTATGTAATTCAGGCTGGTCTTGAACTCATTATGCAGCACAAGCTGGTCTGGAACTCACGGTGCCCCTCCTGCCTCAACCCCCGGAATGCTGGGATCACAGGCTTGGGTCACCATGCCCAGCTCAAACAATCCATTTTTAAGGGTAGGGTAATAACTACCATTTTTAAGCACATACAGTGAAACAAGGATTGTACCAATCCATTTACGTCTATTATATCATCTGTTTTACAGCTAGTGTTGTGAAATGCAAGTATTGATGTCTACTGCTACAAAATGTGGAAATCGAGGCTGAGAAAGATTAGTAGTATAACCAGTACAACACTAAAAGTAGAATTATAGTGAACAAGTGTTGCAGCTCTAGCATTCCAACCCAGACCAGACTCTAAGCTTTAAAACTCTCCTGACTTGTATCCATGTGCAAATATAACATCTTTTTTATTTAATAAAAGCATGATTGTGCTGAACATAGTTTTGTGGTTTGCTTATTCATTTTACATGACAGATCTGTTACCTGTTTTAATCTGTACATAATATATGACTTCTGTGTATCATCATTTATTTAACATCTATGCCCTTAATACGTAGATGATAATTTAGCAGTTCAATTTTGAAGTAACAAGGATTTAGCATTGAATTCTCACATGTGAGTTCTAAGCAGTGCAGTGGGGTTTACATCTTCTTAGTCTGAAATAGGACTTCTAAGATGTCACTAGACCCTATAATGGAAATTTAAATTGATCTTCTTCCTCGTCCTATGTTAAAAGAAAATTAAAATATCAATATACAAGGGAACTATTAGGACTTTTATAATTTGCAGGATTTAAAATTTTTATAATAAAATTGTAGGCAAATATACTAATAAGTATTCCTTTAAATATATGAATAATTAGGTGTTTTTCAGCAATAACTATTACCTGGTGATTTTAAGGAATGATATCTAGAATCTTAGTGTAGATGTCAAGCATTATGAACTATGAAAAAGTGCATTGACATATAATTAAGTTGCATACCATTTGAAACAATAATTGGGAATGACAGTTAAGAAAAGGTTTCTAGGGCTGGGGATTTAGCTCAGGGGTTCCGCTACCTGCCTCGCAAGCACAAGGTCCTGAGTCTGATCCCCAGTACTCCCCCCAAAAAGAGAGAAAAGGTTTCCATTTCAGTGCAGATCAGTAGCTGTATATGAAATTAGTAGTTTTGGACATACTAGGGTTTTGTTTTAAGGCTTTGTAAATATACACTTGGTACTTGGTATAATTTCATGAGTAACTTGGAGACTTGATGTTCCTTTAATGGAAGAAAACCTACATAAGTATTATTCAAATGATATAGAGACATATGAGTTCAACTTTTTTAGTTTTAAAAGGATTATTTAATGGAGATTTTAATGTTTTCTACATGAATACCACTGTTAAAATGGTAATGATTTATTCACATTTAAGTAAGTAAAAAAATCAAAGGAAATATGAAATTACTTCTTTTTTTAATAAATTTTATTTTATCCCATTCCTCCTCTCAAAGCCCTTTCCCACCCTATGTACAAAATTTTGTTATGAAATGACTTATGCACAAGCAGATGAAATATATGCATAGGGTCTCTTGAACAAAATGTAGCTATAATACAACCAACCAATCCCTTTGAGTTAGGCACCATCTTGATTGTTTAGATACCCTTCTATTCTTTCCTACCTCTGTTTTTACACTGGACTATTTTAGCATCACTACTTCCTTCCTTCCTAAAAGATAGCTTTCTGCTGTGCCTCCCAGGCTTGTGAGAGTTTGATATCTGTGGACTGTGCCAGCTCAGTAGTAGATGGGACTGTCAAGCTTCTGTTAAAGTTAGTAGGCTGTATTGATGACAGAGAGCAATGACAAATAATGGTTTTTTTCTCATGAGATAGTTTGAGGAGAAAGTAAAAATTTCAAAGTTTTCAATTTACATCTGCCTGAGTTTGTATTAGCTATCTGTTGCCACACCCTGAGTGGCACAGGAACCATTTATTGCTCAGGCTTTTCAGATCTAAAGGGGTTACAGCCAGTTTGCTTTGCTGATCATGGCTGGCTTTGCTCATATGGTTGGCTGATCTTTTTTGAGGGGGTTACCTGGGATCGAACTCGGGTCCTTGCGCTTGCGAGGCAGGTGGCAGAACCACTGAGCTAAATCCCCAGCCCTGGCTGATCTTGATCTAGGCGGCTTTTGCCACAGTTAAGACTCTTCTATGTCTATAATCCTGTAGCAGCCTCTCTGGGGCTTGACTTCAAGGTGAAAGCAGAAGCACAGGAAACAAAGTATCCTGGTAAATGGCTTAGCGGACTTATTAACAGCAAATAATGTGGGTGCAAACAG